TAATATTTTTGGGTTTTTTTTTTTTTTTTTTTTTTTTGAGTAGTGTGGTTGTTGATTATTTTTTAAAGAATATTTTATATTGAAATGTATTAAAATAATATTTTTTTAAATTTTTAAAAATTATTTTTAAAATTAACCTATGATCTAAAATATATTAAAAAATTAATGTGCGGTAGGCAAGTAGATTTTGTTTTGAAAACACAACAAATATTTGATGATATTCTTACTTTATAAATCACACAGGCATCGGCTAGACGTTCTTATCTAATGATAACAAATTATCTTTTGCCACCTGTCATATACAGCCCGATCGTAGAGGCTTCTTCAAAGTCCCCGCGTGTCTAAAGTCAAGGATGGTGATGTAGGACACGCGTCACGACTAGAGTTTTCCAGCTGACAAGGACTTTTGGCTCCACCTTCTCCTCCCCTGTCAAAAGCGAGACTCGGAGACGTTGACCACTTGCCATAGATTACATTTTTATAAATATCTCTTAAATCAATTTTAAAATCTAAACTTATCGACATCACACCGTACGCCATTCATTTCCAAATTAATTTACTTACTATTAATTTTTATTTTCTTAATAAATTTATAATCTCAAATCCTGAATTATAATGTAAAGAATATATTTTATTACCATGTATTCTTCTTAGTTATTGAAACCATTATTATAATTAGATCGACATGGGAAATTTAGTGTTTTTTTATTAAAAAAACCATAGCTTCGATTAACTTATATGTAAATGAATTAACTCCTTCAATTTATCATCCAATCTTTGGATTAGATCAAATTCAAATTGAATTTTTTAACTATAATTAAAATTAATTTTTTAATCATGCATTTAAAATTATATATTTTTTAAGTTGATAAAATAAGCACACATTCGACCATTATAGTAAGCAATCAAACAAACATTGTCAATTCAACTAAAAATGTTAGGATGGAAAGCACTGTATTTTCATTCAAATATTTTATTTTTATTGATTATATTTATTTTTGTTTGAGTTCTTTTTTTAATTTGGTAATTTTACTCTTCGTTTAACAAATCTCAACCTTTTTTTCACCGTAATCTTATGTTTTTTTCATTTAAACCTTTTTTTTTGTTTCTTTTTTTTTTTACTTGGGTCCGATTGCTTTTCATTTAACAAATTTCAACCCCTTTCCCACCTTAACTTTATTTCTTTTTTAATTTGAGTGCCTTTTCTTTTCTTGAGTCCTTTTTCTTAATCGGGTCTTTTTCTATCGATTCAAGTTTTTTTTTTTAATTGGATGCTTTTGCTTTCCATTTAAGAAACCTCAAACCTCTTTTTTATTAATATTTTTTTTATGAGGTTCTTTTATTTTTCATTTAATAATTATAGTGTGGTTTCATAAATTTGATACTTTGTAATGTTTGCAATTATAAACATGGGAGATAATGAAAGATGAAACAAAAAATCACAAAAAATAACAATACAATATAGAAGATAAAACATAATCTAGGTTGCAATAATTATCTATAGTGTCTTTTTATCATTTATTTTTTTTATTTTTAATTTAATTATTTTATATTAAGTTGATTTAAAATTATATTTGTATAAGTGTTAAATTAATAAAATAAAATTTTATTTTATTGATTCAAGCTAATTAAATTTTTTAGGATTTCAAACGGAACAAATTTTTATTTTATATTTTTCTAAAAAATAATAAATTTACATTTTATTTATTCATATATATAATTTGTAATTTATTTTATTAAAAACATGTATAAATTTTTTAATTTGTAATAAAATGATTTTTAATTGTCAGAAAACGTTAACTAGCACGGAAAATCAAACCATTACACAGCAAAAACATAGCGTGGATCGACATTGATTAAAGGCCTGCATCATGGAATCTACTCTAATGCCGTAATCTTAAATAAAAATAAAGATAAAAATTGCTTCTTCACGCGGATGTGGCCGCCCTCGCTATTCTCTCCCAGGAAGGAAACACCAACTCCATCTTTATAAAGAGGTAGATGTTAGCGTAACAACAACTCCATCGTCTTCAACTGCTACAACCTAACCTTTCATCATCCTGATATCAATCTTCCTTCTTTAATAACTCTCATCTGTCTGTGCTTGCCTGCCAAGAGTTTCCTTCAAACATGAGTCAGAATCAGGCTACAGGTAATCCTTAATCTTAGGTTTTCTTCCAACATGATTGATTGTAGCTTTCTAAAGCTAGACTTGTGGAATAAAATAGCTTTAATGTCCAGATAGTTTAGTGCTAATTAGTACAAACCTCCATCTTCTTTGCTTTCCTGTCTCAAAATTCTTGAGCTCTTGACAAATCTTAGCCAAGTCTTTCACTAGAAACGACTTAGTGTTGGGGTGTTATCATCTTATCAAGCCATGTTAAATTTTTTAACTAGGATCAAACCCAAATTCTTTTCTTACACCCACTATTGGCTTGCGTTATAGTTGAATTAAAAATTCAATTATGTTTCTAATTTGATGTTTCATCGTGTTACAAGTTTCAATCCTTGTTTAATCTCATCTTGAAATGGCAATCTGTTTTTTTTTTTGTTATTGGATTATATAATGCTAATTGAGATTTTAAAAAAATAAATTGAATTGGCAGTGGCATATCCTCCTCCACCAGCATCAACTGGTCCTAGTGCATATTCAGCCCCACCACCAGCTGGCTATCCAACCATGGATGGCCAAACCTACCAGCAAGATCCTATTCCTGTGGAGACCAGATCCAGGGGTGATGGCTTCTGGAAAGGATGGTAAGCCCACTAATCATTTTTTAATCTCTAGTGGGATTAGTCAATGTAATTATTCGTGTGCTGTTGAATGAATTGTATATTGTAATGTAGCCAAACAAATATCTAATGTTAAATGATAGTTATAATGCTTTCTTATTCGTATCTGATTCAAGATACAGGTCGCAAGGTGCATGGCAGGTCAGCAAGTTAATCAATTTTTTTACATAAATTCCTAAATCCTAGTATATCAGCGAGTCACATGATTGACTCACTGGGTCAAACCAGGCTTTACATGGAAGAAGAAGAAGAATTAAATATGTGGATACTTTTGCGTGTATATAATCATGCTTTTCTTTATGGTTATGATCATGTGAATATTCTAATTTCTTTCTCTTCCTTTATTTTGCAGTTGTGCTGCCTTGTGTTGCTGTTGTGTCTTGGACGCTTGCTTCTGAGGATTGATGGAGTTTCCTGCACCATTGATGCTTTATTAGTGTTTTGTTCCTTGCATATATGCTTCTCGGGGTTTTTATTGTAATAGAATGTGACCATGTGATGTGGCTTGATGATTTCTTGGACCATTGTAATAAATTATTTTTTCATATAGTTGCATGTTTTTTTCTAATGTCATTAATTTGGGTATAGAATATTTGCCCCTCACCGGCTGCTGCTAGACTCGGTCCATGCAGCTCGTCGCATATGCTGCACGAAAACCATTCAACTCTCTTAAGCTTCATGCTGGTTTCTAGGACCAAAGCTGAAGTCTTTTCTGCTGCACTGCTTCCGACAGCCACGAGTCTCCTGCCTGGTGGGGTGCCGAAATCCTTGCCATTTGCCTTATGCAAACATTATTGTATCTGTTGGATTTGATAAATTTGTTTGCCCTGTGAGCAATCTGTTTCCTTTTCTGATTGTCTTTGTGATTGTTACTGCCTGAACTTCACTTTGTAGCATAATACGTTCTCTGGACAGTTTTTGATCTGTGCACCTGACATTATGCACAAACTACCCCCTCTTTTTGGCACTGAATTACTTGTTACTCCTAGCAGTTTGGTTTTCTATCCGTGCACGCAAAATTATGCACAAACTAACCCCTCTTTTTGGTACTAAATTTCAATTAAATCCCCACCTAATTGATTGAATTGATGATAATATCTTCGAGGAACAACATGTTGAATCTATCTTCTTCTCTCCCTGTCTTGGATGAACACTACTCTCTCTCTCTCTCTCAACGTAATTAATAGAGGTGTTAAAACTAATACATTTTTAATATTTATATTATCTCATCCAAATTAATTCGTAAAAATTTCATAATATTTATATTATGAATAACAATAAATTAAAAAATTTAATAAATATATATCACAGATCATATGTCAATTAAAATATTTAAAACTTGCTTAATTCAACCTAATTTATATAACTCAATATAAATATCTTTAATTTTTCTAATAAATAATATATTTTTTTTCATTATCTTATCTTTATCACCTTCGTACTCATAATCACCTCTTATTCTCTTAGTAAGTATTTGACTTGGAGACGTGGTAGTTTTTTTTCAAAAATACAATATCTTTTAAACATAAATCACATTTTTAAAAACTATAAATACATTATCTTTACTAAAAAAACACAAAAGTTACCTTTTATTCAAACATCATTTTAATATCTTTTCCTTCTCTCTCTCTTTTTTTTTTATTTTCACATGAATTATAGATGTTTTTTTTTTAAAATTTAATATGACAATGTATTTTACAATTCTGTTTTTTCTATTTGGTAACCAAAAGAAGCAAATGAAAATTTCAAGTATCCAAATTGAACTTCTATTTTTTTTAGTTAAATCACATATCTGGAAGTGTTTTATGGTCTTTTCCTGCTGGTCTGTTTTTGTATCATATTGAACCATATTTATTTGATAAAATACTTTATTATGATTTTTTATGTAGAAATTATAATAGTTTTTATATTTTCCATAATATATATATTATAGAAGTATTATCTAATTTCAACGGTTGCAATCCAATATTGTTTTAGAAATATCATAGAATAAGATAATTAATATACCTAACTTGTGATATTTATAATATTCATAAAAATTTTAACCCAATTTGATATATCTAACCCATTTATGTTTAAAAAAAAAATTGGACTGGTCATGTATATTTTATAAAACATAAAAAATGTAAGTTAGATATAATAATAGATTAAACCACGATATCCGTATATCGGTAAACAACTCTAATAATTGATTGATCCCAAAATTTTGGTCTTGATTTTGTACTAAGACGTCCAGTAATTTATGTGCCGGCCTAACCTAACAGGCAAGAAAAACTAAATAAAGCCCGGCCCATTGAATTATAAAAACGCCCACATCCACATACAGCGAGAGCTAGGGTTTCCATTTCCTTATAACCACGCTTAACGCCCCCCTCCCCAACTCTAGGGTTCAGAACAGCGTGAAGGAGAGGGAGAGAAAACCCTAAGCCGCCGCTACAATGGTGAAGTTTCTCAAGCCCAACAAGGCCGTCATAATCCTCCAAGGCCGCTATGCAGGTCGCAAAGCAGTGATCGTGAAGCACTTCGATGACGGAACAAGAGACCGTCCATATGGGCACTGTTTAGTGGCAGGAATCAAGAAGTACCCAAGCAAGGTTATAAAGAAGGATTCAACCAAGAAAACAGCAAAGAAATCGAGGGTCAAGTGTTTTATCAAGCTTGTCAACTACCAACATCTGATGCCGACAAGGTATACCTTGGATGTGGATTTGAAGGATGTTGTCACTGCAGATAGTTTGACTACAAAGGATAAGAAAGTTACTGCTTGCAAGGATACAAAGGCAAGGTTCGAGGAGCGTTTTAAGACTGGAAAGAACCGTTGGTTTTTTACCAAGCTGAGGTTTTGAAGTATGCAAAATGGTGTCGGTTTTGAGGTTTTTGTTTTAGGTTTAATGTTTTATTTCGAGACATTAAGAAGTACTGTTAAGGTTATGTTGTGTCTTATGGAACTAATTTGGATCTGTTTGGATTTAGTTGTTTTCGGGATTACTAATATATATCGCAATTTTAAATGCTGGTGTTTTTATAATTTCTTTATGTGATGATTTTTTTAGTGGTAGCATTGTGGGTTTTATTTGATTTGCTCACATGATGCTTTGTTTTTATTTTATTGTATTTTTAGGAATGTATTGGTTCAGTGTTTGATTCGTCTCGGCTTCCATGAAATGGAAATACCCTAGCTGTAATTTTAAAGGTGTTGTTTTAGGGTTGCTCTGATTTTTTGTTTATGATGTGTTACTGAAATTAGATGTCGTGATCTTCTATTTAACTGTGGATTTATGAAATTGTTCAATTGTGAGCTATTGGTAGTGTTTGCTAGTATTGGGTATTGATTTGTTTGATGGCTTTTTATTGACTTTTAAAACTTAAATTAATGTGTTGATAGTTAAGTTTAAGGATTTTGAGTTTAATTTTATTATTAAATGATTTGAAATTGTGAGTTTTTAGGTTTCTCTTACAGAGTATTATCATTGCATTTAAATTGATTGTTTGAGAGTTGCTGTCCTGCTATATTGGGGAGTTAGGGAGTTTTATGTTATGAATGCAATGGAAAATTTTGGAGATCATTTTGCTAGCCCTTACCCATACCCTTTATACACTTTCATTTTTAGATATGCTGATAGGGTTTTTTTGCAATTTCCTGTTTGGATTTTGTTAGACAAGTGTGCTGTAGTTGGGGAAGTGACCCATTGGGGTTGATTTGATCAGTTTGGTTTGATGTTTGGATTTATGGTGTTTATTGAAGACTAGTTATACTGATGTTACGAATGATCATGTACAACAAGCTTGTTTCTGGTTTATCATCTGTGCAGTTAAATCAGTTTTTTGTCATTCTCTATCCAATGTTCAACTCCTATTTGATGTTTTTACTTGATAGGCTGAATAAGGGGTGGTGGTGATATAATAGGTTCAACTTAGGAGGTGGAAGCCTAAAAAATAAGTCTTATGCGGCAAAAGTTTTGCGATAGAGCATAATATGGTCACACTGGTGAGTTTGATTTCATTTTTGGCTGCTGAATGATTTTTTCAAGTTCAGTAGTTGGATCTGGTGGTTATGTGGTGGTTTGCAAACCGACTTGAACAGCCTTAATGAGTATCTTTCTGTCTTTTGCTCATTCCTTTTTCTTTATTCAACAATGGATTTTGATGCGCCTTTTTAAATGTGATTGTGTCAAGCTCCCTGGTTTATTTTTAAATAAACAAGTTGTTCTGGCCCTTTCATTTTTATATTTGTTACATGGATCTTGGATGCTTTTGATTTGTAAAATTAGAATCAGAGGATTCTAGGTGTTTATGCTCCTTGGAAACTGTGGTTTACCCTAGCTAGTTCGTGTGAGCTGTCTGATTGCTTCTGTTGGTGTTGAGATCCCCAAAGATATGTTATAGACATCCAAATTTGGTTGCTCTGTGATGGCTTCAGTGAAATAAGATTCGGAGGCTGTCTTTAAAGGAAGATGTATGGTTTGAAGGTTGTTCTGAGCGTGACTTTGCTGATTCCCCCTAGTTTTGGAGTTTTTCTTCCCCCCATGTTTGAGTTTGAGTTTGGAGCTGAATGCTTTTTTACCTAAGCAAGGAGGCCGTGGGCTATCTTGAAAAGCG